CTTAGACTCACCCTTGCTTTGCAGTTGATATGGTAGCAAACAATGGGATATGTTCCTTAGCTCATGTTTCACAGTCACTTATAAGAAAAAAGATGCCTAACCCTAAGTAATATTTATATATATATGCACACACATGCAAATATGTCTTACAACTGCTGTCTTTCTAAACAGCTATTGAAAAACTTCTGTAGCTTCATTATGTGTGACCATTTTCATTCAAGTGTTATTTCTTAATGAGTGTTTTGTGGCATAAAGTCAAGAATTGTTTCATTTGATAGAGTCTGTTTTTCTGGGCAGTTCAGTTCTCACACCAGGAATGAAAAATATTTCATTGTTCTACTATTTATTTGTTCTACATTGTTCTACTACTATATGAATTTATAATGTGAACAATATAAAGTGCCAATGTCTTTCTTCTTAATTGACACCTGGGTGCTTAATATACTTTAAAATACTAACAAACTGATAGGAAATTCAAAATAGCTAACATATGGTATATAGCCAATGAAAATAGCTACAGTATCATAATACATGTTCTTAATCTATTATTCTCTAATCTATTAACCTATAAAAATTCATAATTGATTATTATGTTCTGGAGTAACAGCAGAATACTCAAGTAGCATCAGTAAACTAAAGAGCAGCAATAAAGCTTTACATTACCATCAGAATAATGAATATCCTGCTGTGGAACAAGATTAAATAGAAGCTTCAGTTAATCTAAATGACCATTTTTGTAGCTAGCACAGCACATATTCTGATCTGTCATCTTTTTAAATAGTATGACAAAGTTCCCTGAACTGCTTTTATAGAAGTTGTTTCTACCTGTGTACTGTAAAAGGGTTAAAATTAAAGTTTCATACAGTCCTTTTTTTAGAAAGGCAGCAATCAAGGATTTATCAGCTATGATTGATAATTAATAAGCCTGAGCATTCTTCAAGTGAGAGGATTCATGTAGAAATCATTTGATTTCTTTCTGTGACAGTTGTTAAGTGATGTCAATGAGAGAGAGAGTACAGTTTGGAGGTTGAGTTGGAAAGGAGGTACAATCTCCTTCCCTCACCACACTTTCACGCTTTCACTCTGCTCCGAGTTGAGCCAGTGGATAGAAGTAAAATAGTAATGTCAGACATAACAGAGTATTATTTATTTCTGATCAGCTTTTGAATGTTATGTCCTAGGGGTAATAGGAAAATACAGTGAACTAAATTCCCTAGCTATATTCCTGCCTTTCTCTTTATATGCCATGTATTTGAACCAGTCCGCAGTTTTGTCTTTTTTTCCATTACCTGTAGGAGGAAGAGACAATCACACTTCAGTTTCTTTTGGAGATCCCTCTGGGATCTTGAACTATGAACCCTGCAGTATGATTTTCTGATTCGGAAGAATCAGTATATCTGATCATAAGTATTTATAAGTACTATGTATTTGTGCTCCTTTGTGAACTAAACTGTCTACCAGTATTCTAATTTTTCAGGCCAATATTTGTGTATGTTATGACTAATCTAGTGTCCCATGGCCATAGTGTGTTTGAGTAAAAACTCTTCAGGAGATAACAAAAATATCTTAACAACAACATTGAATTTCAAAATTTGCTAAATATGTTTTGGTATACATTGTCCTTTGTTCTTTCTTTAATGTTTCCTAGACCAGAATGGCAATTCAATAGTCATAGATATTACTGTAATTGTATACAGCATTTCCTTTTCCCCCTCAGACTGCTTTGTCAATAGCAATTTCCTCAAATCTGCCAAACACTAGTAAAATTCTTAAATCTAACTGTGCTAATTCTCAATTAGCATAAAATGGATTAATAAATACTGTTAGAAGGTTTTATTGTAATCCTGAAGAAGACTTAAACTAACATAAAATCAGAAGCAACTCCTTTCATGTTTTGTCGCAATGGATCTTCTTATTCCAAACAACATAGGTGACTTTGTTGGAATTTTTTTCTTTGTGAGTATATGTAGTTGTTCTTTGCAAAAGCAGCATACATTCAGTCGATGGCTATTTGAGATAATTAGGCTGAGGAGATTGAGCTGACAAAACCAGAGCAAATTCCTTCCAGAAACTATTCTGGAAGCAGTCTGTGGAAAATTGTGTGAATGAGAAATTGAGGAGAAGCAAGATACTAGGAACAGATCCTGCTAAGGTTTTTCTCCTGTTGTTTTACAAGTATTCACTAAATCTTCTAAGTCTTTCCAAATTGGTGGGATCATGACAGCTGCAAAAGGAACATTTTCAATACTTTCAGTGTGACTGGAGACAATTGCAGGATTTCTTAGGCTTATTCATGAAGTTCAATTCTTGAAAAACAATCTTCTAAACTTCCATGTTTCAGGTCTTCTCCAAATTAAAATACCTATCTGAGCCTTTTGAAAAGCTAATTCATGAGTCAAGGAAGTATTACAGAGATGTCAATGAAAAGGTTGACATAATTACAGTATTTGACGTTTTCCCGATGGAGAACACACAGTTTGCTTGTAACAGGCTGTGGAAGCATGGTTCAGTACTCTGAAAAATCAGACTGCTTATCAAGAGAGGTTTAAGAATGAGCTTTTCAATTTTTTTTTCTGTTTAAACACCTATTTTTATATCTACAGAACAGACCTTAGCAGATTTTAAGCACCAAAGACTATGAAAGTGATCCAGAAAGTTTTCCTGCTGTCTGGGAAGTTGATATGTGGTGTAGTGGGAACTTCAAAATTCCCTGGAATTAGATATGTGCATATGTGCATGCATAGATGTTTCCCAGTGTGAAGAGCTAGATTTCTGAGCTCTGCTGTCACTTAGAGACCTGCAAGGAGGCACATAGTCTTCACCTAAGTCCTCAGCTGGCATGTGCTGCTCACCTAAAAGAGAATGCTTACCCCATATAGATAGTAATGAGTCCAGATTCCCAGAAGATTCCAGCTTCTCAGGTTGCTTTTTCATATTTCTATTTGTTCTTTCTTTCTAAATGGATCTTGCATTCTTTGTGGTGCAGCTTCAACCAGAGGGTAAAGGGATCCACGCTATAAAGGAGCTCAGTAAAATGGGCCAATTCTTGGGAGACAGGAGATGTAAGTTAAAGACCTAGAATCTAGGTCTTGAGCCATCTTACTGTCTTGATGACTTCTACAGAGCTCCTTCCAATTCATCAGTGCCTTTCTAGTATTGGAGCCCCCCAGACTGGACGCTAGTCAAGATTTGTTCTCACAATCAATGAATAGAAGGGAATAATCACTTCCTTCAGCATGCTGCCTGCACTCTTGTTAATATGGCCTTATACATGTTTCACCTTATGTGCCACAAGGGCTCACTACTACCTTGCTTTCAATTTGCTGTCTACTGGGACCTTCTGATCCTTTTCTCCAAAGCTTTTATCCAGTTAGTTGTCCCCTAGCCTGTACTGCTGTTGGAATTACTCTGTCCCAGAGACAGGAAACTTTTTATTTCTCTTCATTGAACTTCATGAGGTTTCTGTGAACCCATTCCTCCAGCCTGTTCAGCCAGTTGAGATCATGCCAAATAGCAGTCCTTCTACCCAGCACATAAACTGCTTCATTCAATGTCTGTTGCAGTGTTTTTGCTTCTCCATAGAGACCCAGCTCTACAGATAATTTTCATATTCTGGTGTTCCTAAACATCTTATACGTAATATATAAGGGTTTGGGTTTTTTGTTTGTTTGTTTAACTACTAGTAATCTAAAATCTAAATACAAATGGGAACCTAAATGTTACCATAACCGATTGTTCAAATGCCCTTGTCACTCTTAAGTGTCTGTGGTGCTTGGATATTACAAGTATGCTGCTTTGTGTACAGCATTTAAAAAAATAACTTGGTTTTCGTTATGTTGTATTCCCCAGAGGATTACTCAGGGGAGGTTGTCAGATCAATAACATTTCATTGTCATCAAAAAGCAAACAAAATATATTTATTATATATCTATAATGAAATAAATTTTCAATATATGAAACTCTGAAAAAGCACATTCTACATTCTACATTGGCAGTAATGCAGTATTATACTCAAAAATTTCACCACTTATTTACTGAACAAGATTAGAAAAGAGATAATAATAGAAAATTATTATTTTAAATTGAATTAGCTACCAGATGCTGATTGTTCTTGATTCTTCTGCAGGCTGTATTTCTATAGCACATACAGTATTTCTTTTCATTCTGTATTCTGATATTCAAACGTAGTGATTGGTTGATCCTTGCATTACACTGTTAAAAGCTAGCTCCTTAGTACACTGAATTATGCTGCTTTAAGTAAAATTGGTTTCATTTGTTGCTTTGTAAGTGTGTAGCTTCACTGTGTTTTCTTTTTCACAACTTTGTTAACTTTTCAGAGGTTTGTTTGGTGCTTTGATTTTTTTTTTCCCAGAAATATCCAAGATATTTATTTCTCTAAATAACTGCACTGTTACTGTTATATTAGTTTCAGTAACAGATATTTTAATGCACAGAAATTCAGCGGGTGTGTACTTAAAATTATGGCAAAGTATACTATTGGTATACCAAAGTATGACTATATTAGTAACAGCTAGAAGTAAATGTTTATCATTTTCAGCAGAGTATTCTTATTTAACTTGCTTAGTATTTACATTACTACTTTAGTAATAGGAGCCAAAACTGTACTGAACATTTCTGGTAGATATTAGTCTTCCTTGAGAAATTCACTGTGTAAAAGAATTAATGGGAAGATGATGCAAATAAAAAAATAAAAGACATGGTCAAAAATAGGTGTTTGAGTAGAGATTCAGTTGCAGTTCTGAGCCAGTAGTCTTTTAAAGGATTATTTGAAATTTGTGAATTCAGTATATCCTGAATGTATAGTCATGCACACTAGAAAGATGAAAAAAAAGAAGACAGAGGTCTTTTCTATTCTGCTCATGGATTAGGAGTAGTGAAAGATACTAGGAGACATCATAAGAGTACCTCTGTGATGAGTCACCACACCACTGGCTTTGAGTCTTGATCAGCTGGTCAGGGCTAAATAGGACTTGTGTGGGGGCAGGTGGTGACTGGATAGAATTAACTGAGATACACACACAAGCTGAGGAAGTACTTGAAGAGAAATAGCATGTGATGACATATATTTGCCACCTTGTTCTTACATTATTTGTTCATTTTGATGATCTTTATGTATGTTGTAAGCTGCTCTGTTTTAGAACTGACATTAATATACATCTGGAGAAACTGGTACAATCAATCTTAGGAACTGTAAACCTAGTATGAAGAAAAATAATGACTACTAGGGCATCTGTTACTTGTAAGGACACTTCTGGGAGGTAAACAGAACAGTACCTTTCCCCTGACTTAATAATTGCATATACTCATGAACATTTGCTGCTTGTACAAGTTCATATACATAAATAACAGTGCTGGAAATCAGCTGTCTATATGCAAGTTTGACTAAAAAATATATTATTATTACAGACCCAGTCTTCAAAGGCGAAAATTCACCTCAGTAAAATAGGGTATTGTATCTTCTTTCAGGAGAACCTAAAAATGACAAATAAGAAAAAATTCTTTCAAATACATGCCAGCATTTTCAGTGTTAGAGTTTGCTGGATTGTCATATTCAGTACTTTTTCAGATTTAAGGTTTTTCTGTGCTGGGATGTGTGTTCAGTTTTGCCACTGTAGATGGAAACTGGCATGTAGATGAAACTGTGCACTCAAGTGATAGTTTATCTGTCTATAGTATTTGCTTGCAGACATGTAGTGCCACAAACAGATGTGGCTTAATGTATTACAGTGAACCTGTAATAGTTGGTATAATTCACATAGTCTGAAAACACACTCTTTTCTGTAAAGGGCTCCTTTTTCTTTCTATCCATCACACCTGCAGAATTAGCCCTCCTATTATTTCTTACTTGTGAGATCCAGTAGTTTAGAATGGAATTTGATGTGGTTAATTTTACAACAATATTAATGTTTTTATTTTATGGGTTTTTTTGTGAAAAATTATGTCAGTAGGCACTATTGAGTCCAAAAGGAATGCATGGATCTTTATTCTGCTGTTAATATAGCTGTCAAGCTGCTTTAGATTTGATGTAGGGAGCAGACTATTTGCAACTAAGTGTGAAGGTCACTGGGTCAGAGGATATGTATCGACTGGGAATTATTTTTCAATAGAGAAGCAAGTCAGTCAGTATTTTGGGTGTATTCTCATGGCTTTTGTTTCTTTGGGTGGTTCTTCTGCAGCCGTGTATGTGCCATTTAAAGACCTTTATGGTAATTTGGTATTTTGCACTTGCTATCCTAGTAAAATACAAACGTAAAGTTCATGTTATCAGAAGGAACAGGTAGTGCTAATGCCTGGAAAATGTAATAGTCTATGTATTTTTTCAGAACTTTTTTTAATTAAGATGTGTCTGCTTGTACAAAACAGTTAATTTCTGTCTTGCAAAGTGTATGCAGATGATGAAAGAGCAATCTAATGTTATTTTAAATTCATGAACTATATCTATAGAAAAAGTTCATAATTTTATTTTTCTGCCCTTGAAAGGGAACAGCTAGAAATGACAGGACATATTGAAACGAAGTCTTAGAGTTTCACACATGCCCAATAACGTTAAATCATTTTGCTTTCTCAATAGGATTTTAAGACAGTGCTGTCTTTCCCCCAGTACCCAGGGGAGTTTCTGCACCCTGTGGTATATGCATGTACTGCAGTTATGTTGTTGTGCCTGTTTGCTTCCATTATCACCTACATTGTCCATCACAGGTAAGAATTCAATTTTAAGTACTTGTGTTAACTGGTTAACTTTATGGTGAGTTACTTTGATTTTTCTAACCCTCACGGAAAAGATAAATTAAAATCTGTATTACTGTTAGATAGTAATATCAGCAATGTGGTTTACACCAGAGAAATAAAAAAAAAGGTTATGTCAACCTTTCTGAAGCTATTCCTAAGCTATATCTTTCCTGAGATGTATGTCTAAATGTTCTATACACTGTTCCTAAGATTTCTAACTTAATGATTCAATATAAAACCACAAGCATCATCAAATTGCTTTCTGGCAAATTCCAGTTGAGCAGCACTTTGGTCAGCTACCTTGGCAGTTTTGGCTTCTAAGACTAAGTATGACTGAATGACTGGGAGCTGTCATTGGATAAAAGAAGCTTTCTAAATGTTCCTGGCTTTAGAAAACTTACGTTTTCCTTTATATGAAAGACTTACATAAGCGACATTTTAACTACATACTTCTGTTGAAGACCGTTAGCAATTTGAAAGAGTAGGAATGTATTGTACTGTAGAAGCTGCTAAATATTAATTAAGTGAACTTAATGCAATGACTTCTGATCTTCAGCTTCCATTTAGTTCTTTAGAGATGTCTTGTTAAAGTTCTGCATATCTGAAGCTATGGAATAAGCCTTCTGCCTTTATCACTCTAAATGCTTGATCTGATGGAGGAAGCTTTGTCAGTAAACCCTTGCCAGTAGACTCTACAATTTTCACCACTGATTTTACCTTTTTAACATTTGTTTCAATGCTATATAAATAAGACTCTGCCTTATATGTAGATTGCTAATTAGATATTCAAGAATCAGAGAACTTAATTCTATGGTATTAAGCATTTTTTCAAAATCACGATTTTCATCATAAATATGCTACATTTTAATTTTGAAATGTGATTTCTCAACAGCACAATCAGAATAAGTAGAAAAGGATGGCACATGCTTCTCAACTTTTGTTTCCATACTGCTCTTACATTTGCTGTTTTTGCTGGTGGAATTAATCGCATTAAATATCCAATTATATGTCAAGCTGTAAGTATCTGCCTTAGTAATTCTTTCTGATGGAATGAAAACCTGAAACTGTGTCTTTTAACATAATATTGATTGTTTTCTTTCTTTTTATATGGATCTTAAGATTTTCAGAATAAGTCATCGTTTTATGTAAGTCTTTTAAATGCCAGTACTGGGAGTGTTCAGTGTTTGGTTGTCACCCGAGTTTCTGTGAGAGGCTGACCAACGCATTAAGTTCTCCGCAGCTCAGATTTCCTTATTTTAAAAAAATCCCTGAAAACTGTATTTCTATGTTCTACAGGATAGTTGGAAACTGTGACTCCAAAATATTTGTGTTCTTTCTGATCTTTGGATTGAATGTTTATAGTACGATTATGTCTTTTAATTGTAACTCAAGCTAATGAGGGAAAGCTGACCAGGACACTTGCGATGTATGAACCCCTCATTGTACTGGACTATTTCACATCTCTTGCTTCATCCTTTCTTTGAATATAGTGTTGTGAGATGAACAGAGAGGACATGGCTTCAGCTGCTCTTAATACAGAGGCTGTCTGTACAGTGTGTAAAGAGAGTAATTTCAGTCATCTTCTGTAATGCCTCATGAGGGCTTGTTGCAATTTGTTTGTCTTAAATATTTCTTCCTCTCAGATTTTGTAGAAGAGCTCCAGATCTCATGAATGTTGTTGGTATTTACCTGTAGTAAAGTACTTTATTAAGCCAGCATATTTTGCCTGTCACTAATCTGGCTCTTCTGATTGGCTTGAATGGGTGTAAACAGCAAAATTTGCCAGCCGACAGCAGAGTCACTGCAAAACATGCACAAATAGTGTAAGAGTTCTCACCCTGATTTTCAGTGGGATGCTTTGGAAGCCTTTTATGTATTCTTGTGCATGACCATCAATAAACAGCATGTGTAGATCTATAATGAACTGTAACGTTCTATGTGCAAAATCTACCCATGTATATTACATGGTATTCATTTAAATGACACAGTTGTCTACTAGATTATTCTGAGATAAGTATCTTATTATATCTAGTGTATTGTGTCATAACTGATCTGTGAGTTCTAGCAAATAGAAATATCCCATACCGTTGTCTTCACCTGCAGTTTGCAAGTGAAGGTAGCAGATTAGTTTGTAGGGCAGCCACGGCCGTGTAATTGCATGATCATGAATGACCATCTGTTGTTACAGTGATGATTTGATTATTTACTTCATAGATTGGGTGGTAACAATGCAGTATTAATAGTGATAATGAAGAAATGATTGAGATAAATGAGTTATTAAAAATCTGTTATGAGTGGTACATAAACTACAGGGATATCTTCATAAAATACAGTATCAGTGACAGCTGTTTCTTGCTATGGTATAGGGCTAGATACTGAGCTGCTGAGGAACGTGCATTTAAACTGAACGGATCCATTCACATGTGCCTTCTAATCAGTTTCATGAAGTTATTTATTTATCTGACACCATGCTACAACAACAGATAATATCAGCAGTTAAAATACAGAAAAGATACAGGACACACAAGACTTACACAGTCCTTTGGTTCCTGGTAGAAACTGTCTGATGTGATTAGGTAGGGGCTAATGGATGCAACAGTCCAGACAATCTAAGACAAGGCTCCTGTGGCTGGTAACTGAGGCTAAACAAATATTCACTCCCACTGCACACCACCACAGACCCTTTGTTGCTTAATGACAATAATGATTTTCAGAATTCTGTGATTCCCAGTGCCTGTCTCCTCCTGGGATAATCCTGACAGGATTGCTCTGTAAATTAATAATCAGGGTAGCAAAGCTTGGAGTTACAGAGGTTGACATACTAGTAGTTTTCTGAGAAGCTTAAATATTATCCAGAGGGACCTTGACACGTTTGTGAGGTGGGCTGATGCCAACCTCATGGAGTTAACCATGCCAAGTGCAAGGTCCTATGCCTGGGTCGAAGCAATCCCAGACACAGCTACAGGCTGGGCAGAGAAGAGATTCAGAGCAGCCCTGCAGAGAAGGACTTGGGGGTGCTGGCCGATGAGAAAATGAACATGAGCCGGCTTCAGTGTGCGCTTGCAGCCCAGAAAGCAACCGTATCCTGGGCTGCATCAAAAGGAGTGTGACCAGCAGGTCGAAGGATGTGATACTGCCCCTTTACTCTGCTCTTGTGAGACCTCGCCTGGAGTATTGTGTGCAGTTCTAGTGTCCTCAACATAAAAAGGACATGGAACTGTTGGAACAAGTCCAGAGGAGGCCACGAGAATGACCAGGGGACTGGAGCCTATCTATGAAGATAGGTTGAGAAAGTTGGGGCTGTTCAGCCTGGAGAAGAGAAGGCTGCATGGAGACCTCATAGCAGCCTTCCAGTATCTGAAAGGGGGCCTATAGGGATGCTGGGGATGGACTCTTCATTAGGGACTGTAGTGACAGGACAAGGGGTAATGGGTTAAAACTTAAACAGGGGAAGTTTAGACTGGATATAAGGAGGAAATTCTTTCCTGTTAGGGTGGTGAGGCACTGGAATAGGTTGCCAAGGGAGGTTGTGAATGCTCCATCCCTGGCACTGTTCAAGGCCAGGCTGGACTAGGCCTTGGGTGATATGGTTTAGAGCGAGGTGTCCCTGCCCATGGCAGGGGGTTTGGAACTTGATGATCTTAAGGTCCTTTCCAGCCCTAACTATTCTATGATTCTATGATTTAAACATACAGACAGCCTCACTTGTGTATGTGCCATGCCATGTTTATGATTTATGAAGAAAACTGATGATAGAATGCTGCTGTGGAAAAGTTGATTTCTTCTTCAGTTTTCCTGTGTGAATGAGGTTGTATCTACAGACTGTTTAGGTTACCCATGAATCTGATTCTTGGTGTCACTGAATGCTGGCTGTTGTAGAATCCAGAGTCTTGAGTTCATGGCAAAATCTTTCATACGAGGCAAAGGCTATGTTACAAACAGCAGAATGGAATTAACCAGAGCCAGTACGCTAGCCAGGAATTGTGCTTGAGCTAGCCAGTGGATGATGTAGTCAGCCACGGCCATCTCCCAGAGTTAGGGTCTCGGTTTACTTTCCTTCAAAAAGCAGAAGAAGGCCTATTTATTTCATGTAGGGAATGAGATGGAAGGAGGCACAACTTAGCTGGATCATTCCGCATGTATGGGGGGCATTGATTCTGTACACTCAGTCTGAAATAATTCAGTCTCGTGGCCCCTGCTTTCCAGGAGAGCATGATAGCTCATCCCAGGCTATGGATGCTAGGGAATGAAATCATCAGTTCAACATGTTGAAGCATGAAGAATAGGCTTAGGGGCACAAGATTCAGGAGACACAAAAGCTAGGGAGTGAGCCAGAATCATAATTTTTTATCCTAGTGGCCAGCCACTGCGTGGCATGATCACTTCAATCACATCTCCAAGAACCTGCTATATGATTTATCAAATAGAAGCTTCTATATAAAATTTGGCAAGGCTCAGATATTCCTTCTCCCTGATGAGTGAAGCTGCTTACGAATTCATTTCTGTAGGGCAGTAAGTCTTCAGAAAGAAAGGTGAAGCCCATTCCATGCTAGCCAGCAGCCTAGAAGCTAGAATACTAACACTGGAAGTCCAAGGTTTGGGTACGAATCCTGTTACCCTAAGGAAGTCCTAGAGCTATGTGCCACATCTCAGGTAGGAGCATTATATATAGAAATGCTATATCTGTAATGCTATATACTGTATATAGAATGTTATATATATATGCATATATAGCATTATTATAGGAAAAGGAGTAAAAGAGCAGTTCTTTCTGTTTGAGATACTGTGTTTGTTTGTTTTTTTAAGAATGGGTGTAAAATTGATATACTATGATTAAGTTAAGTTTGCTGGTTAGGGTTATGTTAGGGTGTCTCAAGTGAAGAATGCTATTTAAGAGCTGCATTGCTCATCTCTGCTGAGACAGGAACAGAGCTAACCATATGCACAAGCAAGCAAGACATCAGATTGCTGGAAACTTACTAGAAGCAACTAATGACAGCTAAAGACTTTGCATGCTACTGAGTTAGAAGCACATCCTGAATATTGTCCTTCCTGGTCTCAGGTACCTGATCTGTGGGTCTCAAGTTCCAATTTTTCTATCTCTAAAGAAAGCACAGGGTTCTTCTAAGGCTAAATGTTTTAAGATCATGAAATATTCACCTCCAGTGGTGTTACAGACTGCAAAGAAATTTCTGAATCCCTTCATCTCACTGAAAAGAATCACTTTCTGTGCAGGATTAATAGTTTAATCAGAATGTCAGTGAATATCCATATCCTCCTTCAAACAGAACTGGCTGAGGAAGGACAATGTTATCTGAAATATGATCACAATTGAAAAAAAAAATTAAAACCTAGAGTAAACCAAAGAAAATTTTGTGCAAGTTAAAGCTGAGCTAAAATGCTTTGCATAAATGTGTGTTCTGGTCATTACCATGGTAACTGCATGGTTTGGAGCTTAAGTTACTTCTAAGGTACTGAAATTTATTGAAAGACCACATACAGCATCTTCTCACTGTAAAAAGCATAATCTTCTATTCAGTAGGCTGGTGCTTTTTCCCAAAGATAAGAGTTCTAAGAACACAGGACATAGAAAAATTTAGCCCAAGGTAACTAAATTTTACCATATAACTGCAGTTATTAAACAGGTTTAGGTTCAATGCTGTCTTCAATGCATATGTCCTGGCAGTTCATTCTGTACCATTTCACCTGTCAGTGGAAAACCTTCTTATGAAAAAGGGTCATTACTTAAATATATTAAATCATAATCCTTTATTTTTAATGGGAAACTTGACTCATCCCCCACAATTTTATGTGAAATGCAAAATTCCTACTTAGAGTGAAAATAGTTTTAATTGAACACTGCATTATTTAATTTTCATCTATGTATTGGCTTCTTAGCCTTTACAGAGTTACAAATCCAGTAATAGCATATGCACAGATAAATTTATACACTGAACGTTTAGTGCATAAACCTAAGGTTTATATTTACTAACAATTAAGTGAGTTTACTGAACAGAACTATGTCCTGTTCCCTTTTCTGTTGAGCCTTGTCTTCCGCTTCCATGTCATGAGCTGGTATCTCATGTATCTCTAGCATAAAGCTCAGATGTCTTCCTAACTCAAGAGAGCTAGAAAGAGCTGGTCTCACTGAAAGGGCAAAAGAGCATGCAGCCGCAACCTGAGCTCAGCAATGAGGAAAATACATCTCCGTGGCATGACTGACATCAGTGCAGAGATATGGGGAAGGAAGAGGCAGCACATTTCTTTACCTATTATTATTAGTGGATGAATAAAAGTTCTAGTCCAGAAAGCATATTTTGTTATGGAAAATGAGAATCAAAATCACAAAGAAAGGGGTACCCTTTCCTGTGGAATTTCATATAACAATTCAGCTCAGCCTTGCAAATTCCACATTTTTGTTGTGTCATATATGTTGTATCTTCAGATTGCCACCATTGTCCTTCAAGTCGGTCAGTCAGGAGGAGGACCTCTATCATCAGGATATATCTTCTTCCTGTAAGCAAGAAATGTAAATGCATACTTTTTTGAGAGAGATGAAGTGCATTATTAAAGAATTAGTACAGAAGATAACACTTCTGTCTCTTGTCCATGTTTGTATAATTTGACTATATATCGGAAATATAGTACACTGTGAAGAAAAGTAAAGTGACTAAGGTGTGGCGTACAGTGATGGGTTCAGTTCAGTTCAGTTGCCTCCTTGAAAGTTCAATAAAATTGTTTTATATTATTTTTAGGAACCTCATTCACTTAGGTGGCTGATCATTTCTTTACATATGGCCATATACATTGTCCAAGTTTCATATGTAGGTGCCTTCTCACATGGGATTCATCCCTGCTGTTAATATTCTTATGGACTCTGGCATACTTGCATAGAATAATTACAGAATATATAGTGCAGTGTCATACTGAAATGAGAAAGAAGTTATTAACTGAATCTCTAGAATTTTTCCAGTTCTCTCTCATTTTCCTGCCTTTCTTTCTCCCCCTTTCTCCTTCCCTTCTTCTCCCTTCTCCCTTGCTCCTGTCACTCGCTCTCCCTCCTCCAGTTCATAGTCATATTCACTGTGTCCCTACAGAAATGCTTCAAGCTGCATATGAACTAAGTCCAGACAGCACTAGCCACTGAACTGGCAACGTCTGCCAGCTGATGGTACAAAGTTGTCTCATTCTCTTATTTCTGCTTCTGTTACCTCAAATGACAATAGTTATGAAGGCTTTATACTCCCTCGTCTAATGTGTCAGACAAGTCCCAGAGAAAATGACAAAGGGCTTTCTGGTGATGATATTTGCTGCTATCTTCAAGTTTTGTGCTATTTTACTAAATGTAAACAAAATCAATAATTTTTTTTTTCTTTACCCATCAATTATTTTAAGTTGTGCAAGAATGAACACTGGTTCAAATAAATCATTGTAACGGATTTGTGTTAGCTTTATTCATCAATTCTCTGTATTCCTTAAACATTTGTGTGCTTTTCAATTATAGCAGTATTTTACTTGTCACTGAAAAGTGTCAGGTTATTGCTTCAAAGGTAACCTCATTTTATATAATCAGATGGAGACTTAGCTGGAGTAATAAGGCATTGAAGATTGACTAAAATTCCAATTACTGTTTCCATAGTAATGACTGACAATTAATAATGTAATAAAGATGTTAGTATTTCAGAAGTGTTTATACTTTATTTTACTTTCAATGATAAACACATCTGTTTCTTGGAAACAAAATTGTAATAACACTATTGAGAGTTTGTATTTCCTTTTAAGGGAAGATGCCAAGGTCTGTCATTTAATTTTAAAAATTGTATGGCCACGTTTATAAATTCCTTAAAATATGTCTGAAAGTAATCTGGTTTTATGCAGATAGCACTGATCACAATACAAGAAGTCAAGCTTGGCTATATACAGCTGAGATATACAGCAGGATGTTCCTAAAACAATGAAGGAAATAGCAAGCAAAAATGCTGACCTCTCATTGATTCTAAAATTGCATTGTTATGATAAGCTAGCAAAGCTTACCACACAAACTTAGCTTTGCATCACTTTAAATTGAGGTGTAAAAAATTGTCATTAATCAGGTTCTTAGAAAATAAATGACTTTACAGTCTTATTTTCATAACATACCATTTGGTATCACAAATATTATCTATGATAGATTAAATAACAGGTTCCATCTGCTTATTGAAAGTGTTTTTCCTAGTTAGATATAACCTGACAGAAAGAAAATACTAATGTATTTATAAATTCAGTTAAAAAAAAGTATCATTCTTCTAAAATTTCTGGTTTACTGATTCATTTACTAACTTGTTTAACTGTCTACTCTTACTCTTAGGTTGGCATAGTACTACATTATTCTACACTCTCTACTATGCTATGGATTGGAGTAACTGCCAGGAATATTTATAAGCAAGTCACAAAAAAGCCTCAGCCATGCCAAAACAGTGACCAACCTTCCTATCCAAAGCAGCCGCTACTCAGGTATGGAATATTATCTTTTTCTTTTCTTTTAAATGTATTCCTAAAACTTATAAATTTTAAGCTTTCACTTTCATTTCTGTATTCTTTACTTTTTTTTTTCCAGACTATAAATAGGATCCATAAGGAGCTGAGTCATTTGGGTATATCTACAAATCTGAATATTTGTTGTATGCTCATAGTTAATTCTAGTCAGGAGATGCAGATATGCAGAACTGGTACTGGCCAGGTTTATATACCTTTATCTAAGCAGGAACAATTCAGATGTTTCTGTGGTTTCCTATGGAGGAAAAAATACTCCCTTGCTTCCATGTTAAGGCATTATTTAATCATCAGAAACTACTCTACAAGGATTCTCCCTTTGCCTTAATCTGTTCTTGTGTAACTCTTGCCCACACCTGTATTGATAACCTAATAACCTGATAGCAACCTCCCTCATTCCACATCAGGGATTTAATGCTATTACAGGAGTGAATGAAAGCCTGGACTCCCTGTCAGCTTTCTAGTTAGAACAGACTAGTAACATGTCTCTGACAGCATGGCAGGTTTAATGTAATAAGAATTTTAACCAGATGCCTATGAGATGCTGAAACTTGAAGCCAAAATGATCAGTCTGCATAGAAAAAAAAAACACCAAAACCCCAACTTGCCACAGAATAGAATTTCTAACCAAAGGCATGAGAAGATTGATTCATCTCTTTGACTGTAGCTATCAAAAAGTTAGGTATTAGCCATAGTTATATAGTGGCCCTGTATAGACTTTGGAGGGAGTCTGAGACAGAGAGGAACTTACAGAGAGCAATTCCTCCCATCTGTCTTACGTGTTTGTGTGAGGACAAGATGAATTGTTTTATGGAGGTGGCTCTCTTTTTCCCATAGATAGTGGAAAAACCTGAATGGTCTATTCAGACTAAAGACCTCAATTTTATAGTGAAGGACGGGAAATACAAATTCTAATTTTTACACCTTTGCTGTAAAAAATCCAGCTTAGTATGTTCTTTTAAACAGTCCTAGCTTAATTTATTTTGAACACAAAATGTTTATTAAGTATCATTTCTAGATGATTGTGTAAAGTCGTCACTTGTTAAAAGTCTATAGGAAGATGAATTGTGTTTTGCTGTCTGATTCCACTGAGTGAAATCTTTATTAACTTGATTAGTTTTCTGCTTTTTATAACATTTTCTTTTTAGAGATGAAATTGATAAAACTTAACATAGAATTTATACAGTGAAAAGCCATATTGAACAGTGGCTTTGTCAGGTGTAAGCAAGAGGATATACTTTCACTGAGACTACCTAACTTTGCTAATCCTTGATTTACTGTACCATCCACCACAGATGAGAATTCCACTGTTTTGGTTACTAGTTCATAGCAAAATGAATTACCAGTTTTCAAATGCTGCAACATGGCTGTTAAGGTAGAAAATTATTGCATCTTACGTGGACCTAGTATAGTGTATGCTCTTAAAATTCAAATCTTGTTTGGTTTGGAAAACAATAGACAATCAGGTTACAATAACGATTAATTAGAATCTTTGTTGTAATAGTCATGATGAGGTTCTCAGGCAGTAAAAATAAACAGTAGATATTTAACTTTAGCAATAAAAATTACAAACGACCTTTTAGCTGTAAGAGAATATTAGTATAGTCATTTAATAACGAAGTAAAATGAGTCTAAGTTATTTTTCTCACTTAGGGCACCATATGTCCTAGAGAAATGTCTAATATGATTTCATAAAGGTTAGTACTAGATTCAAAGTAATAAGGATCAATTTAATTCCATGTAGAAAATAGATGTACTATATGGAAAATTAAAAATTGCTTTAAGCAAGAAAATGATGAACCCATAATTAGTAATTGTTCTTTTTAGAATGATAATGATAATTTTTCTGACTCTTTTAATTTCCCTGGGTTTAATAAAATTTAAATCGAAATTATTCTGCATCATAATATTTCTAGAAAATCCATTTAAGTTGTGTACATTTCAGTGTAGCCATTTATAAGTAATTTTTTAGTTAGCGTTCTAGTATGTATAAGCTGATGCCAGTCTTTACACATACTGTGCCTCAGGTTCAGAGGAGATAACATCACAGTTTGTCCAGGTCTGGTTTGGGTGGAAGGAGTACTGATTTTTGTCTTCATTTGACACCACTAGATAGCTAAACAATATTAAATTTGTTCAAATGGAGGCTAAGTTAAGCTTTTTAATATGTCAGGACTACCAGTTCTACAAAGCATATTTCTGCATATGATCTCCAAGATGCTTTTAAAAAGAGGTACTGTGTCAGTAATTCAGGTCTGTAGACCTAGCTTGACGTGTTCAGGTTTTGTTGAACACAAATATGTGAATGCATTTGTTAAGAACTGTACACTTTGCTGTTCTCCTTTGGTCTTTTCCAGTAATAGATGTATATGATAGACTGGGTTTCCAGTTTGCATGAGTGTTTTTATATTCCTTCTATATGCGCTCCCTGTATGAGACATCTTTTGTGAGTCAGTAAGTGGGGACTACTGCCAAAAATCAATACACAAATCTATGACATGGAATTTATCAAAAAATTATAAAAATTCTCTCATCACATTTTTTTTTCATGGAACTTGATCCACTCTGAAAAGTAGTCAAAACAGAGGGAAAAAAAAAAAAAATCTTAAGGAAGAGCTTCCCTGTTAGTAAATAAGGACCTTTGCTTGTATCAGTTGCTTCAATTTCTCTGCCTACTTTCATATTTATTTATTTCTGTTCTAGATACAGTGATCAAGCAGTGTAATTTTACTGAAACTTGTTCTTCATGTTAATATGATTTTGAATATTGCCTCTTTTTAGTCATATATTATATGACACATCACATATAGATGATACACTATATATATTTTAGTATCTATATTATACACGATATATGTATTTTGTGTTAATTATAGAGTTAAAGCTCTCAGGGCCTACCACTTTGATAACTGGAATCAACTATAACAATTCTGACATTTTTCACTAGATGTGCCTGGATGCTAATGAGGTGGATCGAATTAATGCATCAGTGAATTCAACAGATAATGAAATTACTTCCTGTAAAATATACTCTCTGGTATTCTTAATAGAAATAAATAATTTTATCTGCTCATCCTCTGTGGACATTTGTTAAACCTGGCAGAGTTTGGCTTCTGACTCATCTGAAGTCAGATTCTGCCAGCCAGGACAAAGGGGCATGCAAGATTCAACTATTATTTGCAATGTACAAAACTTCTCACCAGCCCAAGCTGAAGAACAGGTAGAATTAGTTTTGTACCTGATACATGCATGCAGTTTTCATGTTGTGCCCTGTGCACATAGAGATTAGAGAGGAGTACAGAACAAGCAGAAAATGTTTCTGAGAGATACTGTTAAAATTATTTCCAGAAAGACAGAAAAATATAGACTTCTGTGATTTTTAATAAGATTACTGAGCATAACTGTACTATAAAAATTTAAAATAAAAAATAGATAAGCTACAAGCTTGGCCAGACATTAGTGTTAAGAAGACAGATAATTAAGGTAGCTTTCATCTCAGGGTTAGGTACAAATATGTTTCCTAATTTCCTTCATCCTCTTTTATTCAATGAACATCTTGCAAGGTAACTAATGTGGCAAACTTCAGATTAGAGAGTCCAATATCCTATATCTGTCATGAAGAAACATCAATATGCATAAATAAGGTTGCAAATGAACTGCAAAATGGATAACAGATGATGTCATTGTGTCTGCTGAACTTCATCTTGTTTATATACCTAATATATCTTGATAAGCTTTTTAAAAATTTCTTAATAAAGTTGTAGGGCTTCTAGAAAGAGTACCTCATGCAGTGCCTTAGAAAAATTGTATATCTAGCTGTCATAGCGGTTTAGGAATGGATTGTGTGTCCTTCCCTTTGTATTCAATGTACTAGCCTTAGTACTGTGGCTATTAAAAATGAATATTGAGAATTTTGGGAGATCATAACTCAGGCAAATTACATGAGTTTTTAGCAGCACATTCTGAGCACCTACAGTCAGTTATGCTGATTTCAGTTCCATTCTCTTATTGTTTTCAACCTTGAATAATTTTAATAGTGAAGTATAATTTTTAGAATAAGAAAGCTATTTGCATATTTCATATAATTTGAACTGTCTTATTTGTTTTATAGAAACTGCCCTTCAACTTGCACACAGAGCAGACCTAGAAATAGTAGGTGAGAATCAAAGTGGTTCACTTGAACCATAATACCTGCTAATGGATGTGTGCATGCAATATATGTGTGGGTGTGTCTGCTATTCTGTGTGAGCTTGTATATGGGCAAGTTTCTGAGCATCATCAATATACTTCCAGAGTACCAAATCATCATTCTTGGAGTGGAAACTCACATGACTGGAATATAGTCATGGAGGGCTATGTTCTTTTCAGGAAAAACAGGCCAGCCAGGCGGGGTGGTGGGGTTGCTCTTTATGTGCGAGAGCAGCTACAATGCGTTGAGTTCTGTCTGGGGACAGATGATGAGCGAGTTTAGAGTCTGTGGGTGAGAATTAAGGGGCAGGCTGGCAGGGGCGATACTGTTGTGGGTGTCTGTTACAGGCCACCGGATCAGGGTGAGGAAGTTGACAAGGCCTTCTACAGGCAGCTGAGAGCGGCCTCACGGTCACAGGCCGTGGTCGTTGTGGGGGATTTTAACTTCCCTGATGTTTGCTGGAAGGACTACTTGGCAACCCAGCCGCAGTCCAGGAGGTTCCTCCAGTGTAGGGATGATAACTTCCTCATGCAAATGGTGGATGAGCCAACCAGGAGAGGTGCGCTGCTGGATCTCATCCTCACTAACAAGGAGGGTCTGGCTGAAGGAGTGAAGGTTGAGGGCTGCCTTGGTTGCAGCGACCACGAGATGGTAGAATTCAGGATCTTGTGTGGTAGGGTCAGTAGAATAGCAAGTAGAATCGCAACCCTGGACTTTAGCAGGGCAAACTTTGGCCTCTTCAAGCGATTGCTAGGGGAAATCCCGTGGGCTA